CTCGCAGATAAGGGGCTGGGAGGAACACCCATTTTCTTCCGGCGGGGCAGGGCTTAGAACCCCATACATCCAACTAAATCCTGGGAGAAGAATGCAAATGCCCCAATTCTGCCCGAAATCTTTTAACAAATATACAATTTAAACAAACGCAGGAGCAAGGTTAAAGGCTGGTTGTCGTGCAGATTCTTCTCTTATATGAGGAGTGGGTCGAAGAGCGCTGGGGTAGTTACTGCGCATGTACCTATGGAAATAGAATCCCTAACCACCCTTAAGAGAGATACTATACTGGGGAGGGGGGGTGTTAATTATTCCTTCATGAGCAGGAAAGGATAGGCTTGAGAGAAAAAACGTTACCTCCTTTTCTTGTTTATGTGTGTATTAAACTGTGGATCCATCTTCTCCCCTTTCACGTCTTCCTTCTGGGAGCAGTTAACGTTTAATGGGCTTGCCTAGTCTCAGTTTGGGCCTCCTGTTTGAAATCTCTTCCACTGACATTTGTAGTGATAGCTGTCAAACAGGCAAAGGGATTCAAGTGGAATAATCAACAAGCAAATGCTAGTTGCAAAAGGGATTGTCCAGCACTGAGGCAGAAAAAATACTGTTACAGTGCTGAGATACAGAGATGTTGCTGCTTCCAATGAGACTCCACCCTATGGAGCTTGAATTCATGTAGTTTTCATACATTTCATCTCCAGCTTTCATATAGTTTTCATCTCCAGCTTCCAATAAACGTATGTAAATTTGTATAGAATTATTCAAGAATCGAACACTGGTTAAATGATAAAAGTAAATAAGAGTTGATTGCTATGCACCATGCCTTTTAGAATGCCTTCACATACCTTTTTTTAAAATAATGATATAATAGGTCACTGAAATATCTTGAAATTGTAGCTGGTTACTTTCATTAAAGCTAGGATGTTATTGACTAGCAAAAATTGCTGGTACTGATAGAGAAATAGATTATTGTCTCTTAATATTTGACCTTGGCAGTGATGATTTTTGCAATAATATAATGTTGACATGTGCAAAAAAGAATAAAATGAAGTTTTTAGGTAAGTATAATTTAGAACAGTTTCTTGAAAAATAAGTTGACATTTTTAAAAACTGCTTAGTTTCCTAAGAATTTCTCTTGGCCCATGGAGCTGAAAGGGAAAATTAAACATGTTTGGCTGGTGCTGAAAAATAGCACCATTGACTTTTCTCAGTTTGATATTACTTAGCCAAGAGTTATGAATGCAGAGGTTTTAATGATTATCTCAGGTAAAAAATATGGGAAGCACTTGAAACATTGCTGTGAAGGCTAGCACTAACATTTTGATTTTGGCTGAGGTTTACTGGTGGATGTGAGATACCATCTTTTTTCCAAAGGAAGATGATCCTGTATTGATTTACTCCCTTACAAAAGGCAATATAATCTGCCTCTATTGTCACAATGTCAACAAATCTAAGATGATGCTTCTATTTTAAAATTACTGTAAAATAATATTCAGGAGTATGTGTGGACCAGGTTTCCTTTCAATAAATACTGGACAAGCTATGACTCATTGGGTCATCCTGTGATGTGGCATAATTGGGCTTACTTTTTTTTAACCTGAATGTTGGATGTTCATCATCTCAAGAATATGTCATGAGACCATGGGACACTGCAATGTCCATAAATGTGGAAATAAAACTGCTCTGATCATAGTGGAAATTTCAATTCCATAGGGGATTTTTTTATGCATTCTTTAAATAAGAGGATTTGAAGTACATTATAACAAAACATTGTGATATAATATAGCAGGAGCAGGGAGCAACTTCTGACTTCCTGCTGGTTTCACCGTTGACTTTGCTTACGAGAAACTGCCTGGGAACATTGAAAATCACAATGATGTGATCACAGCTGACTGAGGTGGTATTGCAGTAGCCACAAGTTTGCCAATACAACTGATCTGAAGATCCTTGAAATTTCAATTCAATGGGAATAAAAGGTCCCAAAGTTTATATGCATTCTTTAAATTAGCACATTTGAGGTATCTTGATAAAAAAAAATGCTGCCCTATGATGCACCATTCCTGCTAATTGAACGTTACAAGCAGACAAATAGAATTTAGTGGTATATAGATAGTTATTAAAACTCAGTTGCAGACATTGGGTATCATTTTCAGGCCATCTTCAAGGGCAATCCTATACATAATGTGTTGTGGCCATCAAAATGAGAAATTAGAGATCACAATCATGTATAACAAGCTGTTTCCATCTAGGAAAAGTTGTAGTTGGTAACTAATCTAAGCTGTTGAAGGTAGTCTATGCTACACTTCCACAACAAGCTGAACATTTACATAGATTGATGAACCACCCACTACCAATGTTCCTATCTTGTCTGGATTAAAGTTTAGTTTATTGATCTTCAGGTCCATGTAGCATCATGATGATCAGGTATTTCCACTGTCTCATCTGGAATTGCTAAAAAAAGAGAAACTACTAGCACTGTATTTTAGATCTTTGAACGATTGCACTTTCAATAGCTGGTTAATATGCGATAGAGTGCTGCAGAGCCCCCAAAATAAATACCATAAGCTTGACCAAAAGTCCCCAAGTATCAGACAAGCCTCACAGGGCAATATTTCAATTGGACAAGTTTCCTAGAAGGGTACCATGGTTGATAATATTGAAAGCTGTTGGAATACTAAGGGAATTTAACAGGATTACATTTACCAATCCCATATGATGATGAACACAGTGTTTTCAAAACTGTGCCTAAACATTAGTTGAAATGCATTGGGAAATCTATTTAATTTTAAAATGTCGGGGTGTTTTAAATGGTATTTGTTAAAAAGTGGTGAAATAAAAAAGACAAAAATTTACATTAAATAGTAAATTAACAGTAAAGGAAAAAATGTTTAAATGGTTACAGTAATTGTGCTAAACACAATAACAAAATAATAGAAGGAACAGTCCATTTGATAAATATAAATACCTATGTCACCTATTTTGGCTAAGATCAACTGTAGTGGGAACATCTAGATGTGATCACATACTTATGAATCTTGCCAAATCCATGATAAAATTAACTTTAGACTTGAATATCCATAATCACAGTCATGTATTGTATTGAATATTTTAAGTCAATATTAAAACTCTTGGAACTTGGAAGTTTTAGAAATGTATAGAATCTCTTAATCATTCAAGATGTTACAGAAAGCAGATTGGAGGAAAGGCACATGATAAAATTAAGAGTTCAAAAGGTTGTATGTTTTTCATCTAGCTTGATAAATAATTTATATGATGTTTTTTATAGTCTGCACAGTTATCTTTCTTTTCCCCTTAATGTTCATATTTAAAATTTGTAATCATACAGTAGAAAATGGATAGTGGAATTCAATTGTGTGAAGGGGAATACTGTATAGCAGGGATGTCAAACTCAATTTCATTGAGGGCCGCATCAAGGTTATGTTTGACCTTGGAGGGCCAGGGTGAGTGTGGCCAGCTCGACGTCATTCGTGTCAGGAGCATCTGTGTAGGCCCGAGTGCTCTGCCAGTGAAAATGGGCTCCCAAGCTCCATTTTCAGCTACTGTGGCTTCCTGCAACTCTCTTCCAGCAAAAATGGAGGTCAGGAGGGCTGTATGCAACTCCGGTTTCATTGACAGAGGCACTGCGGGCAGTCCTTCACCATTTCCAGGGCGGCTCTGCGGGCCAGATCTAAGCATCCTGTGGGCTGGATCCAGCCCCTGGGCCTTGAGTTCACCACCCCTGCTGTATAGTATCATAGAATCATAGTTTGGGAAGGGATTTTGGAGGTCTTCTAGTCCAGGAGTCCCAAGACCCTGGGAAAATCCCAAAAAAAGTCTGCAGGAAAATTCCCCGTTTTCCTACCAATCTATCATTCTTTATTTGGATTGCAGGATATCATCTCCAGCTTCATTCTCGGGGAGAGAGAGACTTTTGGCTTCATGCAAGGAAAGCAGCAGAAGTCCTTCTCTCCCCCAACTCCAACAGACTCCGCCAGAAATGAGTCTTTCTGAGACTTGTGCCAGTGCAGCCTCTTGGAGCAGGATGGCTTAGAGGGTCCCAAAGACTCATTTCTGATAGAGTTTGGGGGAGAGAAAGAAAGACTTTTGCTGCTTTCCTTCCGTGCTGCCAAAAGCAGAAGAAGAAGCAGAAAGAAGCAGCCCAGTGGTCAGGCAAGGTGCGTGGGGCGAGTGGGGCAAGTTTCCCCCCTCTTTCCTCTCCCCCCTCCCCTCACTACCTCGTGTTGTTCGCAGTACAAGCAATGCAAGTCTTGTGTTCCTGTGGGCCATGTGGTCAGCGCAGCCTTGTTCCTGTGCAGCCTGGATTAATTGCTTTGGGGGGGGGTGCTTTGGGAGTAACTTTTCTCTGCAGACCACCAAAATTTTCTCACGGACCATCATTGATCCCCGGCCCACTGGTTGGCAACCACTGTTCTAGTCCAACCCCCTTGCCCAAGGCAGGAGACCTTATTCCATCACAGACAAATGACTGTCAAATCTTTTCTTGAAGACTTCCAATGATGGAGCACTCAGAACTGTTTATGCGACAGAAATGCTATATTAACTGTTAAATTTACTTGTGAAAACAGTCTGTATAAATGAAGGATGAAGAGAAGGATAAGAATGTGGAAAATGCTAAATCAAACTCTAGTGTCTCA